CTACGATATATAATCTGAATCTCATCTTCTATATCTGATTTTTCTTCCTTTATGTGTGTGTGTGTGTGTGTGTGTGTGTGTGTGCAATGTGCAGTGATGGATTACACTGCCAGGGAAAACACAAACTTTCAGAAGTATTGAAGAAAACAAACAAACGAAACAAATATAAATTGAAAGAAATGAACTGGATGTAGACAGATGCTAAGCTAAGCTATATCCTATCCAATCCTTTCTAACAGCAAAAAGTAGCAGGCCACTGATTAGGAAGCCAGGCCAGTAGCCACAGTACCTTTGAGATGCTGTTGCTCAAGCAGAAACAGTTCAGGAAAGGGACAGAAAAGCCTGCACACAGAGGCTTTTATGCTGTTTCTATGTTCCCCCCCCCAGACACTGTGATTGGAAGGGCAGTCAGAGAGAAGTCACAGTCACTGGCCAGCTAGAGATGTCAGTCTTTCCCCCACTACTCCCCCTCCCTCTTGTAAGTTTCTGTTTCCCCATAAAGGCCGCCTTCCGAATCGATTTGGAAAGTTTTAAGCTTCTAGCAATTCAATTCGGATTCGGAGATTCAGCCTCCGAATTGGGCCAAATTGAATCGCGAACCAAAGCTTCACACAGCCCTAACATGCATGGTCTTTATTCCCCCCTCCCCCGTTTCCTCTCTCTGCCTCCATCTTACTTCCTTTCCCTTGCTCATCACATTTCCCTTCATGTGTTCCATCTTTTTCTGACTCTTGGATTTGAACTATTTCTTCCTTTCCCTTTCAGTTTCCCCACCATCCTCTTCCTGTCTCTTTCCTTCTTCCATTCTCTGCGAGTCTTTGGTATCATTCACTTCCGTTACCTCTATGTCAGAGCTATCTGTGTTTTGCTCTTCCTCCTCTTCCACTATCATTGGTTGTCAGGCTGCTTCTGTTATAATATCAGTGCTCGGTCTCCTCTCCATCTCCAGCTCTTGTTTCTTCCACTGTGTGGGTTTCCACTTCCAGTCCTTCATTATCCTCTGTGAGGATTTGCTCCACCTCTTCTGCTTCTTCTGTCCCTCTTACTTTGCTGGCATAGGCAGCTGAGCATTTCCTATAAAAGGTGCCCTTCCTTTTTACATATTGTACATTTAATTGTCTCCTGGCAGTCTCTGGCTCTTTCCTTCAGGGCTTCATCATCTTCCTGTTCCTTGCCTGAGTCCCACTGTTCCACCTCTGCCACTATCACTGCAGAGGAGGATGAGGAGTCTCCAGTCCTTACTAGGTTCTTCTCCAGACCTCCTTTCCTCCCTTCATAGGGCTGTCTGCCAGTTCAGGTCTCTGTGTTCCTTTGGCAGGTCCTTGTGGAAGATCTGCTCTCACATGGCCTAGCAGCTGTCACCAGCTAGCAAATCCATGGGTGATATGATATCTTTTGTCCTTACCACCTCCTGTATCACATTGTGCAGCTTGTATTTTTCCCAGAACCATTTCAGGACCTCATGGAACCATGGGAACACCCAGGTCCATGGGCTCCCTTTGGTCATTGTGTATTCCTGTCACTATCACAGCAGCTGCCCTGCAAAATACTTGACAAAATGGGCTTGTAACAGGTCACAACCACTAGGGTGGCTGTGACACCTTTCAGTGTAACTGCAACTCCTATCTGGCTCAAATTTTATGGCCTCTCCCCTCTAGTTCACTCACCTGCCATGCCTTGATCTTACTATTAAAGAGTGTTTAAGGGAGGGTACCAACAGGCCTCAGAGTGAGCCTCAGTCTTCCTAGTTATCCCTTGCCTCCCCCGCGCCCCAGGTCTTGTTCCAGTCCTCCATTGTAATAGCTCACTCCGAGATTGACTAAGCTCCTGTAGGGCACCTGTAGCCTTAGGGGAAAATTGTGTGGCTCCTTTTCCTCCCCTACACCACCCCCCAAGCCTCATGGGTGTTACAATAACATTGTTCCCTCTTTTGGTGCCTCAGCTTCCCCAGCCTCCACCTATTTCAATCTTGCTAGGCTGGTTTGCCTAGGTCCACTATGCCGGACCTGAATTTGAAGCACTAGCTTCAATCTATCACCTTCACTTTCAGGGTCCCTGGCCTCTGTCCACCAGCCCCTATCTCTCTGGGCCCCTCCCCAGCACCATGCTCCTGGCCCCCTGTCTCATTGTACCCACCTTGGGCACCAAGCCTCCAGCCCCTGCCTGCCCTGTAGCCTTGTTCTGCCCCTCCTGGGCTCAATAATAGCTCAGTCCTTGAGCCCACCCCGGTAAGTGGTGGTGCAGAGTCACTTGGAGGAACTGGATGCCTTTAAGTCGGCAGGCCTGGATGAGCTCCATCCGAGGGTACTGAAGGCACTGGCCGTCATTGC